CACATTGCAAATTTTATTTTATTAAAAAATAAATTACGCCTAATTTAATAAAATAAACTTACGTTAGTATTTACAAAAAATAAAAAACTCTTTTAATATCAACTCAGCTACTACAATTGTTTTAACCGGATGCTTTTATTTTTTTAAAAAAATAAATTGCAATTCATTTATTTGGTGGATTTGGTTCATTTAATAAATAACAGTTCATTTAAACCCCTAAAAGATAAATTGGTGGATGTGGTTCCGTTAAGTTCTAAAAATTTTGATCATTGAATATAATTTGAAATTCAAAATCCTTTCTCATATTTGATTTAAAATATTCAATTGTGTTTTTTATTCCAAACAATCAGATTGCCGAAAAAATTACCTTAAAACTTGAATTGAAAATTTGAAATCCAAAATTCCTTCTCATTTTAGTTGGCATAAAATTGAGCTTAATTTAAAATCTCTTCCTAATATAAAGGATTTTGTTCAAATTGAATTTAAAAATATCTAATCACATGCTTCTATCCTTGGACGCTAAACTTAAATGAAGAATTTTGCGCAACTTTAAAATTAACAAACCACTTGAAAATTACAAAATTATAATGAATTTCATATTTTAGGTTTCAATTTGCACGAAAATTCAGAATGTTTAAGAATTTCAAACCAATCGAAATTCATCTCTTTAATTTTTTCCATAAGTTTCAAAATTTTGCAATAATTAAGTCAAATTACCAATGTATTGTTTCAAAAATCAAAACGATAATTTTGAAAACATATAGTTTTTTCTTTTTTTCAAAATTGTCTTAGTCTCTATTCAATATAAAATAAATCACATTTTATTTGTAAAATTGATAAATCTGCATAAAGCATTGAATTTTATGCGTACAAAATTTCCTTTTATAGTAACTAAAAAATAATAATAATTTTGAAATATTCTGTACTCAAATTACTTAAAAGAACAATAATAATAATAATATTTACAGTAACTAAAAAATAATAATAATTTTGAAATCTTCTGTACTCAAATTACTTAAAAGAATAATAATAATAATTTTGAAATCTTTTGTACTCAAATTACTCAATAGAATAATAATAATAATAATTTTGAAATCTTCTATACTCAAATTTTCAAGTGCGGTAGTATCGTCATAATTTTCAGCATCATGTCAATATTTATTTTATATATACTATCGGAAATTTTCTTTCAAAACTTTATAATGTATTTATTTAGACTTATAATATTTTAGATACTTTTATATAATATTTTATTATGTCATTTTCAGAAAACATCTTTCATACAAATGTAAACTTTAATGTTTTTAGATATATTTTCTTTACAAAAAAATTTAAAAAAGTTTTAGGTGACTTCACATCTTTTAATAATAATATAAAACTTTAGATAAATTTACATATGGTAATATAATATGTTAGGAGTTTTTAATTGTTTAAACATACAAATTTTATGTTCTCTTGAACAAACTAGTTTTATATCGTTTATAATAAACTGATATACCGTAAATTATATGACATGTTAACCCCACATCGTTCACGTTTACCCTCATCTTTAATTTATAATCAATAATGGTTCCCCACTTCTTTCATTGGGTGACTCGAACTCGATACTTATTTATAATTATTATTCAATATTGTTTACCCGTGCGTCGCACGGGATACGCACTAGTAAGAATGCAAATCAAATATAATAAGAATTTCTTGCCATTATGCATTAATTACATCTTAATTATAGTAATTTTACACAATTCCTTAAAACAAACCACGAAGCATTAACTGCAATCTGTTTTAACTTCCCTCGACAACCGGATATATTGTTTTAAAAAATATATTCCATAATATTTGATTAAACACTAAATCCGATTGTTTGGAATCAATTCTATTTAAAAGCAATGTTATTATGGAATCAAATATTATGAAGTATTATTTTAAAATTAGTATAATTATGGAATCAAATAATTTAACCACGATTCAATATTTTTAATTCAATCTATATCTCTTTTTAGACTTTTAAATTCATTTTAATATAATATAAATTTGCCGTAAAAATGAGAGTATAACTTTACAATAATCATGGTATCAATATTAATAATATAAATGATAAATAAAAAATTTAATTATTTGGACTGTACACTTTATTATATACATATAAATAAATTGCATATTTGAACTTTAAATTTTTTACTTTTTTCATATATAGTTATACAATATATGCAACTTAATTACAAGTAAAAAATTTAGTAAAGATTTCATTTCAATCATGGTAACATGTTCTTAAAAATTTCCACAATATTCGATTCACTATTCTACTACGCATGTAAACAACTTTTTTATTTATATTATCACGATTTTTTTTATCATTTTGAATTATTTTTTTATCAATTTAGTTATGAAATATTTTTTTCATTTAAAAATAGTTATTTAATGTCATCCGACTCATTTAGTTTATTTTGAGCTACAAATGATAAAATATCGTTAGTATTTTTTTTAACGTAATTATTTTTGTAAATATTATTTTACAAAAGATACAATCAAAAATCCAAATCTCTGTTAAAACATAACAAAAAAAAAAATGGTTCTCAATATTGGAATGTATTTGGAATAAAAAACGAGAATGATTGAAAAAAAAATAAAAATACTCAAAATCCACACTTTAAGGTAACAACTTTTCTTATATTCCATATGAAATTAAACTTCACCATATAAATCATATCTTTAGTATTTATCACAATATTACATATTTACACTATAATTTTAATTTGTGGTGCTAACATAACGAAGATCAACAAAACAAAAAAAATCTATATCTATATAAAAAGAATTACCATTTTTTAAAAATAGTAAGTCAAATATTTGTCAAATCTTATCTGCATTAATTATATACTATTTATAGTAGTTTTATTTTTTATTTTTAAATAAAATCATGGAGCATTTAATGCTGCCCTTGAATGGTGGAAGTTGTTATCATTTTATGGCTCACAAAATGCGGCCAATATATTTTTTACAAAACAGTTTGATGGAGAGATAAACGCATAAATCATAACACATTTAACAAGATTGCCAATTAATTTGTATCTTATTCTGGTGGATAGGTACACATATAAAATAAAATAAAAAATTGATGTATGAAAAGATGGTTTTATAAATATAATATTTGTATGTAAATTAAAAATTTATGAATTTTTTAACTATTACATTCACCTCATAAATTAATCCAAAACTAAACGTGAGATTTATTTTTAACAATAATACATGTATTTATTTTTAACAATATACACGTAAAATTTACGTGAGATTTATTTCAAAATCCTATTATTTTCAATGATATTTACGTGAGATTTATCTCAAAATCCTATTATTTTTGTATAGAAGTGGAATTTAATATATGTATATAATAAGAATAAATTTTTAAACATGTTTTCTAAGTAAATATTTTACGTGTATATATATATATATATAGATGTTAACTTTAATTGTTTTTAAATATATTTTTCTTATAAAATAGTTCAGAAAAATTTAGGTAATTTCACATTTTTTAAGACTAATATATAATATTTTAGGTAATTTTATATACGTTATATGACAGTCTATAAATTCTTAATGTTTTTTCGGTTGTAATATTATTAACACATATAATATTTGAGATACTTTTAAAAATTTTTGGACAATTTTTACACATTCTCTAGATTAAAACATATTTTCCTTACAAAATGGTTTAGAATAATGTTAGTCGACTTCGCACATATTTCAAAAATAAAATAGAATATTTCAGATACTTGTGCATATGTGATATAAGATTTTATATCATATAAAAAGAGAATAAGATTTATAATTCCCGATAAAAAAACATTAGATACATATTTAATCTTAGATATAAAATCTCATTTTATTTGTTATATAATACTTCGGTTTGCATTAATCTTATTTGTAAATTTGATAAATCAAGACTACAAGGACTTAAAAAAAACTAATTTTTAACTCTAGAAATAAGTTAGGTCATAATTCTCAATATCAACTCAATATTTATTTTGTATATACTATCATCTCAATATTTATTTATATATATTTTGTATATTTAATGTAAATCTTTTCATTTTGAGTCAATAAAGTGCAATAATATCTTTATTTAGGCTCATAATATATTATATATTTTTAAACATATTATTTAGAAATTTTTGTACACGTTCTATCTATATATACATTTACATATAAACGTATGCATGTACATATGTAAATTTAAATATTGTTAGACATGTTTTCATGAAAAATTAATGTAGAAGATTTTAGGTGATTTCACATCTTTTTAAATAGTTTAAACATATTTTTTTATAAAATAGTTTAGAAAAATTTTAAGTAACTTCAATCTTTCAATAATGATATATAAAGTTTTAGATACTTTTCCTACGTTATATAATATTTTAGGCATTTTTAATATTTTAAACATACATTTTCGAAAATTCTTTTATAAAAGATAAGTTTATATATACGACAAATTATATCATATATTAACTCCACATCTCCAATTTATAATTATTAGTTAATATTAGTTACCTTTCTCTTTAATTTATAATTATTATTTAATATTATCTACTTGTGCATCGCACGAATACACACTAGTAAACATAAAAATAAAGTAAGAAGGTGTCTATGCAGTTTGCAATTACCAACTAGAGAGCAATCTTGGTAAATATCGGTCTACGGTTGCCAAGTGCAAAATAATTTTGCATGGAAAAATGACGATGTTTTTAATAATGTATGACTTTTTCATGACGAACATATTACAATTACCTACCGAATACTCTATGTATTATAAATTATTGATTAATAATTTAATTATAAATTTTACCAAAGCCAAATTCTGTATTTTCGCACAGAATAATTCAACACCAACAACGAAAACCCCTTATAAACCCTACCCTCAAACTTTTCACGTTCGACAAAGGAAAGCTCACACACCAATAGTAATCAAAGGCTGCTGTATCTACACATTTTTCTGGCAAAAAATGGTGCCAGTCAAATTTCTGGCGAAATCAGGGCCGTTGATCAGGTCGACGAACCTCAGATTCATCTCCACATTCTTTCCCCTCCGTCAGGAATCACAGCTGCCGGAGCCTCCCCCGCCGCGTGCGCCTCCGCCGTCATTTCCTGCTCTTGGCAGCTGGGGAAGCAATTTCTCATCCACTTCTCCGAGCGTCTCCGCGGCCCAGATTCCGATCAGCCTCGGATTTCTACGAACGAACTCGCGGGCGGAGATGCAAATTCTGTCGCAGACGCTCGACACTAAGGATTTGATGGATCAATTCGCGAAATGGATGACGTCACAAAGATGGGCGGATGTGAAGGAGCTATTTGAGCTCTGGGTTAAGGCTTTGGATAGCAGCGGGAAGCCAAACAAACCTGATGTTGACATTTACAATCAGTATCTGCACGCGAATTTGTTGATAGGGGCATCTGTGAGTGAAATGCTCAATCTCGTGGCCCAAATGGACGATTATGGGTTATTGCCTAATACCGCATCGTTCAACCTTGTTCTCAAGGCTATGCTGCAAGTTGGAACATCTCAGGCTGCTGAGACGCTTATCCAAAGGTCGTGTTTTTGTGTTTCTTTGTTTTTACCCCATTTCGAATTACCTCCTGGATATTGTTAACGAATTTGAATTACTGGAAATATTACCTGTTTTGTTGCATAAAGCTACTCAACTTCTCAAATGGCAAATAGTACCTACAGTAGTTGTACTCATTTTTCTGGAACTTCAAGAGCAGATTGTTACTTGCAGTGTCTGGTGATGGTATTTTAGCATGACATGGCAACTATAGAGTTGGTGTTGTTGACACTTGACATGTAATAATTGTTCTGTTAGTTCTCACCTGAATGAATCATAAACTAGTAATGGATGTCGCATTAATATTATTTTGTCGTATAATTGGTTTTTTGTGGAGACATTTTTTCTGCTCAAACATGAGTAAGTTTCTCACAGTCCTTATTTTGATGGGAAAGTATTACTTTATTGACGTCAGGATGCTTCAGATAGGAAAAGAATATGAGAAATCTCTACCCGATGGCGAGTCTTATGACTTGATAATTGCCTTGCTACTCTCCACAAACCAGATTGATGCTGCCCTCAAGTACATAGATTTGACGTTGGCATCGGGATACAAGCTGTCGACAAATGCATTCATTGGATGTATCCAGAGGTGTGTTAACAACGGGAGGCTGGATACATTGGTAACAATTCTAGAGAGATGCCAGGTAAAAATGTGTTCGCCCTTTGCTATTTCTCTACCGTAGTACAACCTTATTAATTTTCCCTATGAAGGACTTGAGTTTTATGTATTATATCAGAAAATGGATCAGAACAAATCTTTATGTCCTCCTTGGCACGTATGCAATTACATTGCTCATGTTGCCATGCGGGCAGATAACAATGATTTGGCTTATTGTGCGCTCATGTTCTTTGCAAACTGGATCGCTCGAGGGGAAATCGGAGACCCTGCAGTTTTACTTTCTGTAAATGAAGGGTTAGTTGTGTCTGCACTTGGGACTGCCGGTAGGACGTTCGATTCTACCCTTTTGGAGGGTTCGTGGGCCATCCTGAAGAGATCATTGAGGCAAAAGATGGTTCCTAGCCCTGCATCTTACCTTGCAAAAATACATGCTTATGCGAATATGGGGAACTTGAAGCATGCTTTTAGCACCCTTCAAGAACTCGAGGTGGTTCATGGAAATAATAGTCAGGAAGATGGGGAAGGTCTTTTCTCTCCTTTTTATTCTTTGAGCCCTCTAGTGGTTGCCTGCTCAAGGAATGGTTTCAAAACATTAGATATGGTGAGTTCTTATGGCTTGTAGGAATACGTAAGCTTCCACAAGTTTGCATAAAAGTCCTGATAGTGGAACTAAAACTGGACATCCTCACACTTGATCATTAATGTTGTCATGGTTGCGTTTTCAATGACTAGGATCGCATTTGATTGTTGGATCTTATATAATTCCTCTCTAAATTTCTCATCAATATTAGTTTCATTTTTGTTGGATCTGCCGATCTCCGATTTGCTATAAAACAAAGTCATTCGAAATCCATACAATCTTATATCTACAAAATACCACCCTTCTCACACACATCCACACACACTTGAAAATACACTCATCAAACATTCCACACACATAACATTGCAAATCCCTTTATCCATATGGCGCCTAATTACTAGCCCTCCATGGCATGTATGACATAACTTTTCAACACTGTATATTTTTTTTTTTCTACCGTTGTTTGCTCTCGTCATTTGCTGAATTCTAGAAGTGTTTGGTCAGGTTTACCACCAGCTGGAGATTTTAAGTCGAGAAGATCCTCCATACAAATCCATTGCTGCTCTAAATTGTGTAATTCTTGGCTGTGCAAACATTTGGGATCTTGATCGTGCTTACCAGACATTTAATGCCATTAGTGCCACTTTCGGTTTGACCCCGAACTTGCACTCTTACAATGCCCTGTTATTTGCCTTTGGGAAGCTTGGCAAGGTAACTCATGTGCATCCCTCGAGTATTTAACTTATAGATACCATCGAAATACTCCACATAAACATTGGTTCGACTGCGCCTCTAAGTTTTTCTCTTACAAGTTACAAGCACTCCATTTTTTTTATTCTCTTTTTGGTGGGTGAGTTCTTTCTTTTGTCAAAACTGTCAACCTACTATTGTGACTTCTATTGAATAAAAAAATCTCTTTTTATTTCACAGAGAGATGATGCTGTAAAAGTATTTGAGCACTTTGCTGGGTTAGGCGTGAAACCAAATATGACAACGTATTCTCTACTCATTGATGCTCATCTTTCAGTGCGGGACCCCAAGTCTGCTCTGGCCGTGATTGACGACATGGTAATTTCATTGACCCGTGAATTTAAATGTTTTCGGATTAGCTACCAAAAAAAAAAAAAAAATAATAATAATAATAAATGAATAAATAAAAAATGCAGCACTAGAATGGATATTTACAGGCTAATTTTATTTCGTAATTATCATGTTTATTCATAATCGTTTCCCTTTTATTACTGACATATGGAACTGGCACTAAACTGGAAATTGAACCCTGCAAGCAGATACATGCGGGGCATGAACCATCCAAAGAAATGCTTAAAAAGATTCGAAGGCGGTGTGTCCGGGAGATGGATTATTCATCTGACGACAAGGTGGAGACTTTGGCAAAACAATTTAAAATCCGGATGGGTACAGAGGTTCGCCGTGACCTGCTGTTTAGTTTTCAGTACAGCACGGATTATTCGTGAGACGTAGTTCTTTTTTTCTTCTTATTTGGATAATTTTATCAGTTAAAAAAAAAAAAAAATTCCTCCCCTACATTTGCTTTGGATGAGCTGTTATTGATTAATGTTGTTTGTAGAGTATTTAACAGTAATATCCCGTTGAGAAGTTGTTTCAAATATGGGTTCGTCACTCAATATTATAGAGGTATTTTTCTGTGTTTTACAAGTTTAAGTATATGTGGCTAGGTTGGGCGGGCACCCAACAGTTCCGGCCTGATAAGCCTGTTGAACACGGGTTTTGGGCCTAGTCCGAAGTTGAATCCCTGTAATGGGCAGGCTGGTTATGGGCCCTGAAATTAATTACCGAATTGCCAGTTTTGGGCGAGGCTGGACCCGGAATCGGATGGCCCACCATCTGTCAAATTTTAAAAGATGGGCTGCCAACATTCGGCCGAAGTACATAGCTACACAATAAATAAAAAGAAAAATCTTCTTCTTCAAACATGAATGCATATTTTTTTTTTTTAGAAAAAAAGATGAATGCATAAAAAATTAAAAAAAGAAAAGATTAAAACAAAAATGATTGATCAATATGTTATACTTGAAGAAGTTTTTGATAAACATTAATGCATAAGAAATAATAATAATAAAAAATTAAAATAAAAATGGTCTATTTATTTATTATTTTTTTATACCAAAACAACATCTCAGAAAGGTGGGGGTTGAGGCCAGACTCCATGTGAAAAGGCCCGACATCGGCGGAATAGTCACAAGTCTACAACTCCAAAGTCCAAGATACAACAACCCAAACAAATGAAAAACAATGAAAAAAGGGATAATAGAGCAAATGAAACAAAAATATCAGAACCTGGTCCAAGAAAAGTCCAGCAAAAAAGTCAACACTACGGGTGAGCAAAAGCACCAAAAAATGGGTCGACTACCCAAATATGAACGATGTGTTGCCCATCTGGCCCATCCGTATAAGGGTACGGAGAAACTGATTGATAAATATGTTATACTTGACGAGTGAGTTTTTGATAATTCCTATGTATTGTATGTGAAATATTGCCTATGTAAAGAATGAAAGTTGACTGAAATTATCATTATAAGTTGCATTTTTTTAATAGCTACAAAGAGCATGAGGGTATCTACCTGTTCAATGTTAAACAATAAATGGTCATTTCGATTGGTACTCTGACAAGAAGTAAAAGCTCGACTTTCAGTATTTAAAAATATCATTTTGGATGAGAATTCACGTTTTAGTCAAGTGCATGTTTGTAGTTAATTTATTTATGCGAACGTTGTTCCTTTATTTGTAGATAATATGGTTCTGGGTGAGGAACACTAATATCATATTATCAGTGTCTTGTAAAATATAAATAATGCTTCACAGTCTAGACGGGAGTTGAACACCCTGGTCGTGAAAGATTGTAGTGTGAATCTTAGAATTAGTTGATCTTAGACTAATAGATTACATTAGTACATCTCACATGTATTGAACGGCCCACAGGAGGATATTATTATTTTATACTGACCAAGTAAATAATTTAAACCTCATTATTTGTTGCGTATTCTTAAACTGTAAGAAAATGTACGGACATATGTACTCGACACTTACTTATTTGATTTATCAAGAGTGAGACTTATTCAGGTAGGTCGACATGCTTGATATTTTGGTAAGTAATGTCGACTGCATGATGTGCCGTCAATATTGTTTACGGTCACCGCATCCCGGGAAAGTCCAAGTTGATGATGTCTCCGTAGTGAGCTCAAGAAGAATCGTTGTGTCAATCCCCACAGGCGGATTGAGTTCCAGAATAATGATAAAGTATTGAGCGGCACAAGCTAAAGACATAAAAAGTTGATTAATTAAATTGTATGTAATTAAAAGAATCTACAGGTGTTATATCTTAAATAAAGGGATAATAATCGAGCAATAATAGGGAAACAAATTAAGTATAATTCGAAGTTAACTTAGGAGTGCAATAATATTTCTCTAGTTGAATGATTTATTATTCTAGTATTGAACAGAGTGGGCTTGACCTATAGTTGCGCTCATGGTTAGGTCGCCCATATTTAACACCTCCCTAGGGTCTCTACTGTAACCCTATAAATACACCAAGTCTCAAAGCTTCCAAACACAAGAGAGATCCTAATAAGCCACACATTATTTTCTTCTTCCCCAAGAAAGAAAACCGATAGGCCATCTACATGTTCTTGAGAGTTTGTGAGTTTTTAGAGCTTCGTTCAATCGCTCCACCAAGATTATTCGAAAGGTGTTGGGTAATACAGTAGAAGATTCTTGGATCTTTTATTCGTATCCAGTCTACAAATATTTGCAACCAGTAAAGTTTTTGTAACTCACGGGTTGTCAATTCTTCATGAAAACCGAAAATAATGATCACTCAAAACCTACGATCATCATCTTGTACCTCTTGGAATCTGCCGCAAGTCAGTAGCGACTCGTCGTCGGCCAGTCAGTGACCTCCGTCCGCCACTAGCCTCACAACAGCGAAGCACCGTGCATGCTCATGCAGCACAGCGTGAAGGCACCATCCAGTATATCTGTCGCGCACGATACACGTGCACAGCCTGCTCCTAGCGTCCGCATTCTCGCGGAGACTCGTTCCTGGGAATGCGCGTCTCTTCCTGGCGACTCGAGCGTTTCTCGCATGACCCACAACGTCCGAGTGCGAACGGTCCCAAGATCTGCGAGTTTCTCGTGCAGCCAACATCCTGTCTCCGTGTCCCAGTGCCCGTGTCGGAGTTCTAAGCGATAAGTCTCTCCCAGCGTGTAGTCCACGACTCCCCATCACCAGACCCGGGTATGTCTAGCCAACACAGGCCTAGTCTAGTCCAATTGAGTCACCAGCACCCAGATGCGGTCATGCCCAGTTCAACACCGGTCCAGGAGTGTTCCAGCCCCTGGTTCAAGTCTAAGGCAATTCTAGAGCGGTCTGACTAACCCACCAGAGGTCCGGGATGATGCAACTGAAGACGTGATGGCAAGGCCTAATTCGGCAACCCAACAGATTCTGAGGTTCAGACGATCTCCAACAGTGGAAATCAAAAACGTCTTAAAGTCGGCAAATTTGAAAACTGTAAGTCCTAATCATAACTATAGATTCCGATATATTCGAATTTGCACGAGGACGACGTTCTTCATAGAACCCAACAACTGGTATCAAAGCCCAGACTTAATTCGTCTATGTTCACTATTCGAATATATATATATATATATATATATATATATATATATATATATATACACACTAGTACAAAGCTCGTGTATTACACGGGTGCTTGCAATTTTTTTTTCTTAAAATTTAAAATTAATGAGAAAAATGTAGTTGAAAATTTAAATACATTTTTTATAAAAATATATATTGTTTGTCACATTTTTGTTACATTTTTCGGTGTTATTTTTCCTTTCTTTTCCCCCGTTTTAGGTCGTTTCGTTAGTTTTTAGTCCGTTTTGTCGTTTATTGTGTGTTTTGCTCTATTTCGGTTTTCTTTGTGTTTTCCATATATTTTTGCGGTTTTTCTTTGTTTATGGTGTGTAGGTCGAAAGTCTCGGGAAGACCGGATTTCAGGCGAAAGTTGACCGTGCAAGCGTAATTATATAGAGAGTCTCGTTGGCTACACGTAGGAAAAAAGGAACTCGATTCGCAGTTCAGACGAACCCATACGAGCCCAAAATGTGAAGTTGTGCGAGCTGCCCAGGCCCCGCGCCGCGCCGGTGCCACGACACGGACAGAGGACCAGATATTGCGCGCCGCGGCGCGACAGACCATTACGCCACAGCGCGACGCCCACCGCGGCGCGACAGACTATTTCGCCGCGGCGCGACAGACTATTCCGCCGCGGCGCGACAGACTATTCCGCCGCGGCGCGACAGGCCCACTCTTTCCACGTCCGCGACAGATTCTTTCACGCCCGTGACCCTGCTCCTATATATATGTTCTTACGAGACTTCGACAAGGATTTATTTCGGACCTTCCGGGGTGAAAACCTTCGGGCCCGAGAAAACACGAAAAACTCCTCTCTTCCCCTTCTTTTCCTCTCTTCTTCTCCATCGTTTTTCTTCTTTTCTTCTCTTTTCTTTTCCATTCTTCTTCTTCTTCTTCTTCTTCTTCTTCTTCTTCTTCTTCTTCTTCTTCTTCTTCTTCTTCTTCTTCTTCTTCTTCTTCTTCTTCTTCTTCTTCTTCATAGCACTTAGGGATTAAGCTTGTAACTCCATTGAACACATGGATTTTGGGACTAAATGTAAGTTTTTTCTTTTAATTAATTCATGAAAATGGTTGATTTTAGGAGAATGATTAATTGTGTTGGATTGATTTTACATAGCTAATGCTTATTGTTAGGGATAGAGGATGATTATCCTTCTTTAATTCGTATCACTCGGGCTTGAAGTGTTCGTTCTTATGTGAGTTGAATTGATTAGGAATTGATGAATTTGTGCTTAACTGATTGATATAATCGAAGAGTAACACTTCGATCTTGCAATTGGAAACAATTGAATGTTAATTTTTGAGTTAGGATTTGTTGATTGTACATGATTAGTCGATTAATACCCTTCTCATTGAATTAGCGACTTTTTGAACCGAAAGGGGAGAAGTCGTAGACCTAGGCTCACATGAGGTAGATGGTTTTGTAATTGAATAGTCTATAGGTTTTTGATTGAAATACGTGCATGTCGATGACCCGTCCCTTGTTACGAAATGTTATTGGAATTGGGATAGTTGGCCTGTATTGTATGCTCGAGCTTCTACGTCTATGTTCCAACCCTTGTTACGAAGAGTTATTGGGAGCGAACTGCTAGATGTCTAAGCGAGAGTGTCAGTCTCGAACCGAAAAATGAATTGTCCGGTTTTGCTAGAACTTGAATTAATTGTCCCCGATTCCCTAGCTTCTCCTTTTTTCTTTCGTTCTTAGTTTTAGGTAGATTTATATTTTTGCATGTTCTTTATTTCTTAGCTGAAAATACCCAATTCATCTTGAATAGACTGTTTAGAATTTTATTT